TCATATAATGAAATGACAGTTGTATAACAGTTTTCACACAACAGCAAAACTGTTCTCCTGAATTACAGAGGAAATTCATTAAAATGATGGATAGATGAAAATTTTGATATTCCGTGTCTGATGAACAGAATGCCACCCACAACTAAAATTTAGATGTTCCCTTTAGCTAAACATATAACATTCTTTTATATGGAACAACCCATCTCTCTTGAAAAGTGTTTGTGAACATTTCAAAATTACACCCACAGTATTTTGTAACATTAGTATAGGACATGAAAGCAAAGGATGAAATTGGTATCAGCATAATTCTACATTTATCCCTTTAGCTTTCTTTCTATGTTAAGAAAGTTAACTCAAGACATTCAACTGCTTCCTAGAGCATGTGTCCTACTGTATATGTAATGTCTCACAATCCCACAGCACCCTGGCAGAGCAAGTGATGTAACATCTACATGATAACTTTTAATGATACACAAGTAGCTCATATGGTGTGGCTTTATCTCCAAGGTACTCAAGAAAATAGAATCTATGTGAAAATAATTGAACAGTCTGTATTCAGTCAGAGGTCTTGTATTGGTTCATTTAACACAGATGTTACCTAACAAAAATGTCATGACCAAAATATGAGATGTCATTTTCAAAATGTGAATTTCCTCATTTAATTGACACCAATTAAGATGAACAAGAGCTAATTGGTTTTCATTCAGTTATCAGAACACTAATAATCTAATCAGTACCTGTCCATCTATAAGGATCACAGCATCTGTAATTGTATTTCAGTTAGCAATATACATCCTTATAATTAAAATATTTATTTTCATCAGGGCTCTTCTGGGACTGAGTTAACATTACCTCTACCACCTGTTTTTTTTTTTTATTTGAGGAGAAATATCCTGTGTTAGCTCTGAAGGACAGCTCTTCAGAGTTTGCAATTGACATTAATAAAGGACACTCAAACTGAGAACAGATTTGAAAGAAGTGAATCCATTTTGATTTAAAACTTCTAAGTAGGCAGGATGACAAACCCTTTTTACTCTGTTATAATTGTATCTCAGTCAGTAATTGTATCTTATAAGAGCAAAGCAACAAGTAATAGGTTTACTTTAATAAGTGACACCTGAAGAAGGCTCCACAGCCAAAACATTGTGTTTTCTTTCTTCTCTTTTTAGCATGGAATAAACCTATTACTTGTTCCTTTGCAGACTACACATGCTGACACAGCTACCCACTGGTCAGTGGAGAAGGGATACGTTAGTACAGTTAAGTGAATCTGCTTTAAAACCTGCTGGTTTCCAAACCCTGACTAAGTACTTTTGGGAACCACTATGTTAAGGAGTTAAAAGTCTATTTAAAGCAAACACCATTCAATTGCAAATTTGATTTGTAATGAAACATTGTAGTTAACTTTTCCGCATAGCATCAGTCAGAAACATTTCAAATAACCATTTTTACACTGCCTTCCATTTATTGTGCCCAAACAAACTAAAACACTTAGTTGAGTGGCTTAGGTTTTGTAACTCTTAAACCTCCCTTTCTGAAAATAATTTAAATGTAGTTACTAGTCAAATTTAATCATTTGAAAGTAGTATCCTAATATGATAGGATTCTTTAACATTTTATAAAGAAAGTAAGAAAATTAAAGAAGATAGTTGTTTCAGAATGGAATTTATGGTATATTTACAGCTCTCAGCAGAAACAGAATATAATGTACACAAAGATTGCACATAATTGTTTTGAGAGATTTTTTGCAATGAAAACACAGATGCTTTTACAAATGGTGGTTTAAAAGCTTTTTTCTGTACACCATCCAGCTGAAAATAATTCAGGCTGATTTCCCTATTAATAATTTATCTCATGGAGAGATGCATGGTTTGTATTTATACATTCAGCAGCTGTGTTAGAAACATTTCAGTAAAATGAACATGCTTTTAAAGAAATTCTATTGTATTGATCACAGCAACTAAAAACATTAAAAATAGTCAATAATTCTTCACAAAGTATTTACAAAACACACTCTAGAATGTTTGAAAACAGCATTATTTTTGTAAACACATATTTGGCTGTGTACAGAAAACTTTAAACTTTAAACATTGAGTATGCATGTTGTATTGTAAACTTTCATTAAAAGATTAGCTATTTTATTATTAATTTGTTCTATAATCAATATTTTCATACTTTTCATTTTTCTATAAAATTGAATATTTTTTCTATTTTTATATTTTTCTATAGATGTAATAAATGTGATTTTGTGGCTTTGTATTTGATACTGTTCAAATTACATTCTTGAAAGGCCATTTTGTTTGTCATCTCTGATAAGGAAAGGGGGTAATTAATGACTGAAAGCATGTGGAAGCAGTCTAGCCACAGGCACTATGATTTAATCCTGGGCAAGAGCCAAATTTGCCACTTCTTCTATACAGTACCAAAGAAGGACAGTTGCCAACCCTGTTGTTTGAGTTATTCACTTGGGAATTAGAATTACAAATATAAAAAACACTGAGACAAGGGATCATTGACCAATGTCTACAATGTCTCTCTCTATCATATATATTCTACTTTATAGTAACATTTTCAAAAGAAAAGCAGAGCTGTGCTACTTCAATGAAGTCTCAAGTCAGTAGAAGTGGTAAGTGACATGACATGAGACATTCTCAATACACCAGGCCAGTCTGTGGCTCAAACCTGAAGAAGGCTCCACGGCCCAAACTTTTTTTTTCTTCTTTTTTTCATCATGGAATAAACCTATTACTTGTTCCTTTGCAGCCTACACATGCTGACGCAGCTACCCAACTGAACTACTACAGTCTGTGGGTTGTTCTGCCAGAGAAGCTGTACCTTTTTGGAGTTCATTTGCAGCTAATAATAATCCACCAGCTTTGTGGAAACTCAAGAAAACTCAGCATGACATGTGGACCATGTGTTTTAAGTGATTACTTTCAGTTTCCAGTCTGTGACTGTTTTTTGTCTTCTAATGGGAAGAACTTCACCAATTAAAAACCCAGTTTGCAGGCAATAAAATTATGTTTAAAGGCACATATGTCACTCTTAGGCAGATGAAACATAAATCATATACTCAAAATATATAAATCATTTTTACATTGTTGAGTAAAAAGAAACAAAAAATGAATATATATGTTTCTTATTCAGCTTCTCAATTATATGGACTTCAAGAAATATCCATCCAGGTGGCACGGTGGCACAGAGGCTAGCATTGCTGCTTGACAGGCAGGAGTCCCGAGTTTAATTCTAGACCTGGGATGCTATCTGCGTGGAGTTTGGATGATCTCCCCATGTTCGCTTGGGTCTCCTTCAGGTGCTCCAGTTTCCTCCCACAGTCCAGAAACATACAGGTAAGTCAATTGGCTTCTGAGAAAATTGGACCTGGTGTGAGTGTGTAAGTGTATCTGTCTGCCCTATAATGGACAGGCATCCTGTCGAAAGGCTGTACCCCGCCTTGCCCCTGTTGCTTGCCAGGATAAGCTCCATGTACCATGTATTGGGTAAAGTGGTTAGAAAATGGATGGATCCATACAGTGCAAGAATGTTCTCAGAAAGTATTTCACTTTTTTTTCCCTTTGACATTTAACGTGTACATGGATTATTTAATTCATTTTACATTTACTAGTTTGGTATTTTTCCATTTTCTAACTTACCCTATTAACTGATGCTTCACCTTTCTAAAAAACTCCATGAACAAGATAAAAGCTGAAAGAACTACCTTGACTGATTTGACTGATGTGATTGAAGACTGATGTGTCTCAAGCTTAACCACACATTCTGTTTGGTTTCCCTTACTGGAAAATTGCCAGGCATGATGCTTATTAAAATAATGAGGTGATGGCTTTGGAAGTTGGCTGTCTGAAGCTAATGAATGGGTTTGTGTTAGAACTCCAGTGACAATTAAATTAGATTGTGAGTAAAACACAGTGGGGTGGATGTGGTTTGTTTAACTAAAGACAAGGGCAACACTGGAAATTGTTTCATTCAGTGCCCACAAAAGGCAGGGAAATGCATTGTTATTCAGCACAATGGATTCCATTGTGCTGGACACAGTGAATTCTTGAGGAGGAGAACTCAGCAGGTGAGCTCTGCAACAAAGGATGAGTATGGACATTACACAAACATTGCAACTGCATGCCTTTTAGCCCCAAATGGTACTGCTACCTTGAGTAACTCATAGAAGATATATTCTATCCATATGTGCAATTTATGTTTCTAGTTAAATAACACTGTAATATTCAAATATGGATGGTGTATTTCTAGTACTCTATATGCATATAACATAATACTATTCAGAAAAACATAGTTATAATTCACACTAAAGATGGTTTATGGGGTTAAATATCTCTTGTGCCAATTTATGAACAAATGATCAGAAACATCTTAAATCATATACCTGGGTGTAAATACGAATGACTCACATTTTCCTGCCTTTTCTATTGATTTATAGTTTTACAGATTATTAGGGTATGTCAGTATGACAGTCCAAAATTCTATTGAAATTCGTTCAAGGGTGGGGAAAAAATAGCTTTCAACAATTTATCCTTTTTCCATCGTCAAAACTTTTGTGCTCTTTCAACCTACAATTGAGTTGTTCTTCCCCTAGTCGTTCACACCCCAGACCCCAACCCCCACCCTGCTTCCCAAGTACAGATTTAGGCTGACTCAGCCGCGGCATATCAATTCACAAATGGAGCTCCACCTCCCTTTCCCGTAGATACCAGTTCAATTTCTCCCTCTCCTCGTCATCTTCTTCTCAAGAGGTGTACAATTTTAAAGATTCACCGTGGAGAAAGCTGCTGATGGCGGTTTTTGGATGGAGGTCTAATAACCTCTCGGTTTACAAGCAAGGAATTTTAAAGCAGCAAGAGAAAGCTTCAGACCGCCCGCAGGTTCGGTTCAGGAAGCATTGGCTGTTGCCAAGCGAATCTGGGAAACAGCAGGTAAACAGAAATGAGACCGTTTAAAACTCTCCTAATTGACTCATTCACTGACTCTGACTGGACTGCGCGGTGACTACAGGACCCCGGTTCAGACTTGCTAACAATGAAGGAAAGATTGCAGGATATGATTAATTGAATACAAAAGCATTTACAGTGAATATGTAATTCAGTATAAATTACGAACAAGAAGAAATGCGACTTTGTGATAATTATAGGAGTTTATGAGTAAAATGCTGGTTCAGATTAGTAGTTAGACGTACCATGCCCTTTTCACATAGTATCGTGTTTGTAATTTTTGAGGAATCATGTATATTGGCAAGCAAGCACGTGTCTTAAGAGAATTGATCCAGACGCGAGGAAAGTACTGTAAATTATCCTCGCTTTCTTCGATATTTTCCCCAAAACATCGATAACCTTTAGTGACGTTGAAAAAATGTATTCGAAAAACGTCTGTGGCGGTACAGTCATTATTTTGTTTTACCATGAACAAAAAATTGTATTTTGATGAAGCGGTACTTTTACAAAACACATATTGTTTACTAAGTATCAGGGGTGAAATACGCTAGTAACATAGATTTATTAATGATAAACTTTAAACTGATACAAAAAGTGACACTGCGTTGGAATCAGATTTGCACGGTATGTTATTTCCGTTGGATTAGCAAATACAACGACATTCATTCTCCTAGCCTAGTCTCTACTATACGGAAAACCACTTTATTCCAAATACCTTCAATTTAAATAAACGAACACTATTGTAGAAACTTGGAGTCTAAAATCGAAAACGGAGTTGTTGTTATAATTATGATGTGCTATGCAATTGTATGAAGAATTAACATATTTTACAGAAATTAAAACGTAAACATTCCTTTATCTTAGTTGGGAATTAAAATTCTGAAAACAATCATTTGGTGTACCTAACACTTAATCTGGAATCGAGTTTAGCACCGTTTTCACTAGATTAGAATACATAGTGTTTTTTTTTTAATTAACGTGTGGTACCATTTTCTTAACCTTTCTAAATTAAATTTTCTGAGGCTAAAATCACCATACATTTTTGACAACACGGGTGATGGACAAATCGAAATATAACATATAGGATATAAGCATTTTGAGTAAGAAACCGTTTTAGTTCTAAATGAGAGAGAAATAAATGAGTTCAAATTACTTGTCTGAGAAACTTCACGTTTGAGACATTGGCAGAGAAGAGGGAGTGCCTTTCTGTGTAGTTTAACAGCAGGCAGGGAAAGAACCGCTTCCTGTGCAAGAAAATCAGTAGCTGCAGAAGTTACTGCAAGACATTACCTGCAGGGACTAATTGGAGGCTGAGAGTGAACCCATTTTAACGGTAAGTAAATGTTGTTCAAGTCATGAGCAATGTTTGGTGTAGCATCTAGGTTGCTTTCTCCTTTGTCGTTCAGCCACCGGCTTCTGGAATTTGTTGTTGACCGCAGTTCAGTAACGGAGAGGAAAGTCTGCTATGAGGCGTTAGTGGCGGGTCTAAGATAAGACAATATCCGTTTAATTTCTGTCGTACGTATTGAGACTTCTACCACTGCTCGAGTTAAAAGGCTACAAACCTTTCTGTAGCTACGTCCATCGTCGATTTTAAACTTCTTCTTGATTTAAAATAACAATTAGCTGAGAGAATCGACAGTAGAATCGGTTTTAGGTTTATCGTCAGGTGCCCCCAATCTTGACTTTCTGTTTCAACTAACATTGCATAGCGTGTGACTAGAACTATCCTATCCTCCCCAACAGAGGGTTTCGGTCAAGTCTGTTAAGCGTAGTGAGTATGTCACTGTGCTTCGGATCGCACCTTTATGAAATTTTGTTGCACGTGATTTATCAGGGGTTTCGCTCTTGTCGGTTGCACTCAGTCTTTGCTGTTATTGATATGATCTTTCATTGTGATCTCCACTTGATTTGGTATAAATGTATAAGATATTTAATTGTCCTTCATATAATAAAATAGGTAAAACTTGGGTCGAAGTAGTTCAAATGGGTAGCTGCGTCAGCATGCGTAGGCTGCAAAGGAACAAGTACAGGTTTATTCCATGCTGAAAAGAGAAGAAAGAAACATTACGTTTCGGCCATAGAGCCTTCTTCGGGTGACCTCTGTCGTAAACCCTGTTGCTTTGCAGATCTATTTTGCCTAAAATTTGCTTTTCCAAGTATAAAATTTCCACAGAAAAGCACAGTACAGCAGAATTTATGAAAGTACTAATTTGTATATTGTATATTCGCTCTTTGTACCTTATTATTATCATGCCATTAAGCCATTAGTAGCAAAACCTATACAAGTTCAAGTTGAAGTTTATTGTCATTATAATCATACATAGGTATATGGTATAACAAAATGCCATTTAGCTAGCTCTCAGACAGTAAGAAAGACAGAGACAACAGGCAATGTGCCAAACAACAACAGGAAACTGGTAATGTGAAAAACAACATCAGTTGTGCAAAATCATACATCAACAGAATGAAATAAAGGATAGAAAATTATGGGGAGTTAACATCTTGACA